TTTTTTTTTTTTTTTCCTTGGAAAAAATTTTGCTCTTTTATGCGACACGTACTCATGCACATGCACACAACACACGCACACACATGTGATATATAGCAGCTATAAAAAATATTTCTATGTAGTTGTACTTATCATAGCATTTATGCACTAATTAACTAAGGTCCAAGTATTTATATTATTCGTGTTATATTTATTTAATTCCACTTTCATGTGACTATTAAAATTTCATGTCTTCTGTTTGGAAAACATTTTGTTGTTACTTTATTTTTGGAATATAATATATTTTCTTCATTGATAATTTTATTCATTTTTGTGACACACATACACAGGCATACACATACCACATGTGTATATGATGATGATGATGATGAGTTATATACATGTAGCAATTACATAAAGTATTTGTATATAATTGTATTTATCATAGTATTTATGTACTAATTAACTAGGGTTCAAGTATTCATATTATTTGCTTTGTATTTAGTTCCACTTTGACTATTAAAGTTTGATTCATGTTTGAAAGCATAGAAATATTTTTTATTGTTATTGAGCTTTTTTTTTTTATATATATAATATATTTTCTTCGTTTTTATTCTTTTACACACATACATATTGCACATACATGTGTATATGACGAGACGTATAGAAAAGTGTTGTATATAATTGTACTTACATATTGTATCATTTATGTACTAATTACTTAGGACCAAGTGTATAAAGTTTCATATTATTTAGCTCTACTTTCATATGACAAATTTAATAACTGATTGGAAAACATGGAGATATTTTTTGTAATTAAAATTGTATTTTCCATAGTATTTACGTACTAATTGAATAGGGTCAAGTATAGATCATTTAATTCCACTTTTATTTGATACTTGACTGGAAAGAAATGAAAATATTTTTTTTTTGTTACTGAGTGTTAAAAAAAGAAGAAAAGAAGTTTTTCAAAGATGAAAATATATTGCAACCTTTCAAAGAACAATGAGACAGTACAAATAAACTCAAGATTCCTTTTTCTTACTTTCTAAGCGTATATTATTTTTATTAATAGGCTCAATCAAGGCAAATTATTTTGAATACTATGGACGATAGTAGTAATTACCGTTTGGTCAGCAATCTGTTTTGCAATTTCATGTTGTAAATGAAATTGCAGGAGCCCAATGTGGGTGGAAGTGAGATGGCATCCAGGGAAAAGAAACCCTTAGCGCCTTCCAAAGCAAAACAGAAGGCGAATAATGATTCTGGCTTGCCATCCAATGAAATTAAAAGCAGAAAGGGCAAGTCACTGTCGAATCTGAAGCAACAGCAACAGCAACAGCAACTAGCGAGGGACATAATAGAGGCAGTAGCAACAGGTAGCCAACTACCCCCGAAGTTGGAGGCAAGCCTGCCACGCAAGAAGGTTCTCAGGAATCTGAAACACAAGCAGAAACTAAGAGTGACGAAGGCAAGTTTAATTAAGTCAAAAGTTACGAGGAAGGTGACCGGTAGAAATTTATGCAGAATAACTTCTGACATTAAGAAGAGCGTGAGGGCCAAAAGAGCCAAATTGTCGGTGGAGGCAACTGGTGGTGAGATCTGCTCGAGGGCCACTGTTGAGAACCACGTGAACGAGGCGGAGGGTGAAAGTATAGGGAGCATAGACGGAGGTAATAGAAGTGCCAAGAATAATCTCAGGACTAAAAAGACCAAGTTGGTACCAAAAACTAGCGAGTTGGAGAGTGAAAGTATCCCGGACACAGACTCGGTCGCTGGATCCAGTAGCAAAAGCAGCCCGAAGCTAAGCAGAAAGGGTAGAAGCTTGGAGAGTTTAGATTCTCTGCCTAGGGGCGTCAAGTCGACCAAGTTCTCCGGATTCAAGAGGAACAGCGTGAAGCCTGAGGTTGACATCAAGTACACGAAGGGAAGGAAGAGCAGCCGAGATATCGACTGCGCCAACATAAGAGTGTCGAAGTCGCTTCTAGACACCAAGAGTTCCATAGATCTCACCATAGACGAAGTGATAGCTTCAATGTTGAGCGACTCGGAGTTGGACAGCCAGCAGGGAATAACGGAGAAGATAGAGGGGAAGGTGACAAGGAGTAAGAAGATGTTCGTCGAGGAGAACGCAGCCCCGGACATCGAGATAAAAAAGGAGCCGGACAGCGAGACGGCAGACGTGAAGATCACATCCGACGGCGAGAACCTGGAAACAGAGTCCGTTCAAAGTGCAATCCAATTGAGGAAACGGTCGAACGCGTCGATCAGTCAACGTAGCCTACGAAATGGCAAGTTACGTCAGTCGGACCATGCATGCGGTGTTCCAACCACCGTGGAATTGGAGATGAAGAAACGTCGACGATTGAACTCGGACGATCCGCTGAGCTTGGAACTCTCCACGGACAACGTCGCGGACAGCAACGCCGACACCGAGTCTTGTTTCTCCGAGAGTTTGTCCAGCTGCAACGATGCCCAGCTGCAGGCGATCATGGTGGTAGCGGGCAAAGACGAGTTCCCCGTGAAACAGGACACGCTGAAAGCGAGCATCGAGGAATGTCCGCAGACTGCGTTGGAGATAGAGAACAATAACAACAACAACAACAACGGCGACAGAGGAGCGGAGAGGGCGAGCGAGGTCGGGCCAACGCTACGCTCGAAGACGAAAGCGAAGAGCACCGAGGTCGAGGTGAAGAACGAGAGCGTGAAGGTCGCTGGCGGTGAGTATGCGCGCCTCGGTGTGGCGAAGAACGCTGAGGTGCAAGAGGAGGTAAAGAAGAGCAGTATCGATCATCAAGCGAGGAAGGACAACATCCTGGCGAAACTCACCGACAAATCCAAGGGTCGGAGAAGCAGCCTCAACATAGACATGAAGAAGACGGTGAACTCGTTCTACGGCACGGAGAAGTCAGACGGGAGTCCCAAGTCGCAGATCGATCAGATGATAGAGAACATCAAGCTGACGATCGCCAAGTCCATCGAGAGCAAGATCTTCGGGCCGGAGAAGGGCCTCGGCTTGAGCAAGAACTTCGAGGTGCCGAAGATTGAGGAGATCATCGCGCCGCTGAGCGCCGAGTCGCAGAAGCTCGGCCTCGAGGAGAACACCGACGAGGAGAAATCCGCCATTTCGAGGAACGAGATCAAATCGGACAACACGGAGAACTCGGTGGCTGAACTGAAGCCGAAAGTGGCCGACACTGCCAAAGAAATCGAGAAACTAGTCATGGGTGATATCGAGCTGGCCGAGACGCACTCGCAAAACGTCCAGGAGAGCGAGCATCCTTCCCCTGATATCGACGTCCACGTCATAGAGATTAACGACAACGCCAGCAAAGCCAAGGACCAACAGCAAGAGTCGTGCGAGCTGTCCAATTCGATGGAAGAGCAGAGAAAGGACCAGCTGGAACAGCTTGCTTCTGACGATCAGACGAAAGCTTTGGACGACGGTAAGAAAGTTGGTCATCTTGCCAGGAAATCCTCGAGAGCTACGGAGAACGACGACGCTGTGAAAACGTCGGGCAAAGTATTGAACAAAATAGCTCAAAAGGCCGGGGACGGTCGCGAGGAACATTCAGAGGACTCTGGTAAATCCGAGGAAATTGTTTCAAATGTCGAGTCGCTTAAAGATGAGTCAACGAGCGAAGCAGTTGTTTCAGAGTCTTCGGTCGTTTGCGCTTCGGCCACGTCGAAGCAGGTCCAGGAGGAAGCAGCTGAAGAAGATAAAGCAAAACCGGACGAGACAGTCAAGGACGAGGCGAAGGATTGCTCGAGCGTTGCTGCCGAGTCTGCAGAGTCTGACGATGCAGAAACTTTAGAGAGCATCACCAAGGAAGTAGAAAGATTGGTAGCGGATGACCAGCCTGGCGGTCAATTGGAAATGCAGAGCAGGCCAGAATTCATAAACAAAACGAAGGTTCCCTCGTTGCCTAGTAAATTGGACGCCGATACGGATGGCGAGAAGCAACTGGAGGTGGCGAACGTCGCTGAAGTCGACGAGCCGGCGGTCAGCACTGCACAGAGCGAGGTCGAGGTAACGGAAAGTGCCAAAGACGTCGAAAAGTGCGAGGAGACCGCGACAGAGACGACAACGCTGGCGAACGACTGCAGCAACAACTGCGAGGTACGTCATCCACCAACGTCCGATTGCACGTTGAAATGCTCGGCGAGCCCTGTTTCCAGCGATACGTGTAATCTGTTCGAGGACGTGAAGAAAGATACAAAGGAAAGTGGAAAGGACGACAAACGCGAGGCAAGCGACGATGCAGACAATAACGGCGGTGCCGAGAAAAGAGATGTTTTGTACAATAATACAGAGAGCAACGATGCTATAGCCGCTGTGAAAGAAGAGACGGAGAGATTGAACGATATGGTGGAGGAGCAAAAGTCTTCTGCCGCTGGTGATGACGACAGTAAGAAACGGGTGTTAAGAACTCGGGACAAAACGAAGAAGCTGGAAAGGGGGAAGCTGGAAACGAAGATAAAGCTGGAGGAGGAAGTTTGCCAAAAGTCGCACGAGGAGGATACGCGGGACTTGGAGGAGAAGATTCAGAAGGTGATCGCCGAGGACGTGGACGACACTCAGAACAGCACTGAAACGGAGACGACGAACGAGCTGGAACGCCAGGCCCGCACCAGACGCACCAGGGAAGCGAAGAAACGCAGGGAGGACCAGTTGAATGCTTTGAAGAATAAACGACCGAAACGGGAGATTCGAAGATACGATCAACAACAGAACAAAGAGGAGACTTTGCTGGACAACGAGGTGGCAAAGATCAACGAGAACAACCGGTCGTTCTTGAACAAATATGGGAATGACGCTGAATGCGCGACAAATTTCCGAGGTTTCTCCGAAGGAGTCAGGGGAAGCTTGGAAAAGCGCGACCAGGACGGCGCTGACAACGTTAGAAGCAAGTCGGAGAACGATTTGATCATCGCGAAGCAGCCAAGTGAAAAGACGTGCGAGAACAGATTGTCACGAAACTTGTCGGAGAACCACGTGACCAAGCAGACGGACAACATAGATATTCTGGATGCCGATTGCAAGCCTATAAAAACACCAGAGACCTCGCAGAAAGACTCCGACGAGACGTCCACGTCCGGCGAATCGTCCAGCAGCGTCAATGTCACTCCAAAGATTCTGGAGACGCCGGAGGACAAAGCGAAGAAGGAGTCGATCCTAGGGATTCTTGGTCTGGAGCCACTGGAGAAGGCTGCCGAACGATTGAACCATCAGAAGGCAAAGAAGGAACAGTCCACCGGCACACTGAGAACTGTGATCCGTGTTCAAAAGGAGAAGGAGAAGGACAAGAGACGATCGAGGTCCCCGTTGAAAATGGTATTGAAACAAGGTCGCGGAGACGGTGAAGGAGATTCACCTGAGAATTTCTACACTATTCAGAAGGAGGTGAGATTCACGTAAAACGTAACCGATTAATAGAAATTGAATCACTTACTTATCACGTGGCTCTGTTTTTTTTGTTTTTCAGTTTGGAACCAGTGGTTGGGGAGATAGCAGCTCTGGTGCGAACCGAAAGTTCTCTACTAACCACAGACACTCTTGCGGTAATCCTGGTTGCGGGAATAACTACATTCTTAATCGTTCCTTGTCCTGCTTAAGACACACACGTCCCAACTTCCTATATAATTCCCCCTTTCTCGAGGATCACTGTGAAGAGAATGATATTTACGCTTGATATTTACTTTCAACGGATTGGTTTTGCGTTTTTATGGTGTCTATTATTTCTTTGATCGCGATTTCACTACTACTACCGTCTGATATCAAGCAATTCTTTGATTCGTAAATCATTTAAAAAAAAAAAGAAAGAAAAAAAATACTGCAAATTGTATTAATAATAACTATATAGTCCTCCATAACAAGCATGTTACTTTGCGCTACCGCTTCGGATTATTAACAACATTTATTCTTTAACTAATAATTAATTCACTGCATCAGAGTATCAAATTAAAACGTTTAATGTATTTTTTTGTAGAGCTGTGTAATAACTGTGGCTTACTTACTGTTTTGTTATAATAGACGAAGATAACGAAGACGCAGCGCCAAAGGATCGCCAGTCTCTTGTTATTCCAGAGAAATCCTCATCTTTCTCTATTCATCCAGGACGTTTGTGCGCAGACGTCTGTTGTTATTGTTTTGGGAAATTTGGTTCTCTCGACACGCCGATGCATCTTGCTCAAATGAAGTCCGACGAAAGGCGTAAAAAGATTTTAAACATAGAAAGACATCTGACCAAGGATTCTTGCTTGTGCGACGCTTGCTACCGTCACGTGGACAGAAAGGTTGGTCTTGCAAAATGAGTTCTTTCCCATTGCCATTTCTATCAAATATTTAACATTTCATCAGTGTAAAATCTCCGTGTAATATTTAGGCAAACACGAGTCCAACAAATATGCAAACAAAGCCGCAGAAACAACACAGGCAACTCATGGTGTCCAAGTGCTCGGCCCGCGAATGTAGAGACGCTGCACGACATCATGTGAAACGTCGATGGTTGCTGAAAATAAAAGCTGGTCTGCAAAAGCAGGTCAGTGTACCAGCACATCGTGGTGAAGCCTGAGATGCGATACTTACGTTGCACCATTATTTTTAATATAAATTATCGTTAATTTTAATACAAGTCTCCCTTTTTCCTATGTAGGTGGACATTGATTGGGAGTCGAGTCAACACACGTCCATGTCGTTCTGCGTCAGCCATTACTCGAAAATCGAGCGATTCTTGGCCTGTGCGTTGTGCAAACGTAGGTTAGCGAGAAATCACACTCATCAACTGACGAACGTGGAGACGGACGAATTGAATCAGTTGCTTGGACAGCAGGGGATCCCGGTTATTCTGGCGGCCAGCACATTCGTTTGCAAACTGTGTCGGTACTTCACTCAGTTACAATTGAAGTACAAGGACGTGGAGAATATGAACACGAATCATAAATCGTTCTTCAAGAGTTACCGGAAGAGGTATGCCCCCCCCCCCTCTGATTCCACTTAGACTCGACTCGAGTTTTTCTCCTTCACTACGTTCTTCTACGTATTTTTTTTTTTTTTTTTTCACGTTTCGCTCTTTCTGCCGTGTCCAGGATCTTGCATTATCACAACATCGAGGTTCTGGAAACCGAGGACGAAGATCCCTCTCAGAGTCAGGTCAAGGACAAGGACAAGGACAAGGATAAAGACAAGGAGAAAAGGAAGAAGAACAAGTGTAGCACTCAGCCCAAGTCCGGTAGCTCCAAGTCGCCGGACGGCACGACGAACTCCGCCTCTGAAAAGTCTACCCCGGAACCAACTAAAAACGAAGGGGTGAATTCCGAGACGGACAACGAGAACCGTACCACGAAGGCAAACATGAACGATGAGAACGTCGTCGCGATGGACGTGCAGTTCCTCGGCATTGAGAGCACCGTCGAGAAACTGAAGAAACGCAAGCTGCTCGACATGCACTCGTTCACGACGTCGTCGGATACATCGATATCCTGTGATAACCCGAACGAAGTTGTCGAGATCCTCGCGATGGACAAAGAGGTGACGTTAACGAGATTGCCAAAGAAACCACGGGCGAACAACGACATCACGCCGGTTGTGCAGAGACTCGGTGCTAATCCCTCCATCAGTGTTCGCACCCTTTTCCCTGGCGAGGAGGAGATGAACCTCCACGCCAACATAGAGTTCACGAACGTCAGGGAGATAACGCCCCAAGGATGGGAGAAGTGCGCCACTATGATACAGTACGACAGAGACACGAAACTCCTGTGGCAAGAGCTGCAAAGACCGTACGGCAATCAGAGCTCGTTTCTCCGACATTTGATACTGCTGGAGAAATATTACAGATCTGGCGATCTGGTGTTGGCCCCGAATGCGTCGCGGAACGCAATCAATTACTCGACATCCGTGCAGAATCGTTTGATATCGTACGAGGGCCCGGAGAAGATGGACGAGCCGATAATGGAGCCGATCGCCTCGGAGTATCACAATTCTCGCCGGCTGAGCGGTGGTTACGTCCTCGAGAGGGACAAGCATTCTCTACCGAGCACCAGCACTCCAAAACAGCTGTCGTCCACCAGTACCACGCAGCCCGCAAAAGGTAGTCCACCGCGAGTCCTCAAGCTGAACCCCGGCGTGTCGATAATCAAGAAACCACCCCCTAATCTGCAACGGCTGAATCTTCCGTCTACCAGCGGCAATCCGACGAACGGTAACGTGAAACGGAAGGAAAGTGGTCAGAAACTGCCAGCTTCTTCTGCCGGTGGCAAGGTGTTCCAATTGAGCGAGCCCGAGTTCAAGCGGCTGCAAAGCTTAAAGAAACAGAAGCAGCAGATGCTCACGGAGAAGCAACAGCCAGCCAGCAGCTCGAACGGCAATTCAAGTTCCACGGCGAGCGTGAAAACGGCAACGCAGTACCAGAAGGCGCAGATAGCCGCGCACACGCAGTTCCAGAAGCACCTGAGGATGCAACAGGAGATGCTGAACCGGCAAAGCAGGAGCGACTTCGAGCCGTTGATCTGCGACGTGCGGGCGTTGGCCAACGAGAACAGCCCGACGCAGAACTTGCTGCACAACCTGAACCTGCCCAAGTCGATTCAGGTGACGACCAAGACGTGCAACCAGATCCCGATATTGCCGAAAATACCGAAATCGTTGACGGTGATACCGCAAACGGTCACCAGACCGGCCGAGAAATGAGATAAACGGACAAACGGGGGTGAACAGTAAGTAAACAAAACTACTAGATGTTAATTCTGTTAGACGGCGAGAGGGTTCGTATCCTGACTCTGTCGGTAAGAAAGAAAGAAAGAAAAAAAAAGAAAAAAAGAAGGGGGAAACAAAGTGGAAAAAACGATCGATTGCTCGTGACGAGCAACTAAAGATGAATTTTGCGTTTCGACGTCGATCGCGAGAGAATTGTTGTGAGAATGTTTCGTGAGGTTTCGTCGATGCTCACCGCGAGAAGTGACGGTATCTGCTTTATGCAAATGTTCAAAAAAAGAAAAAGAAAAAAAATAGCATGAAAGAAAGAAAGAAAGAAGGAAGGAATGAATGAATGAAGTAAGGAAGGAAAAGCACTCTACGCTGTTCAAAAGAAAATGCTGTTCTACGATGAATAATAATCGTATAATAAACGCATCGTGACGACCTGATATTCGTCGATGCAAGTTCTTATTCGCATACGCGCACACATGTTGTTGTCGCGTATAAATTAGAAAGAAATATAGCTTCGTCGAGCGATGAGACGACTCGGCGAGAGGGGGGGAACATGTTGAAAGGAACAACAAACTGTGTTAACGATCTTGTTACATTAACAACCAAAGCATCAGCGAGAAAGAAAGAAAAGAAAGAAAATGGCGGAACATGGTAAAGAAAGAAATCTGTTTTCAAGGAAAAGTGCCTAAAAAAATTAAAAAGAAAAAGAAATATATAAATGCGAACGAAGTCGTTAGTTTTTAAATGACAGAATATATGTTGGACGAACTTGAAACACACGCTATATTTATGATTAAATATATACATATATATATATATATGTATATAAATATATACATACATATAAACGAAGAAATGAAAAGGGGGAGATTAAAACCCCTGTAATATATAATAGCCTTTCCAGATATATATCTCTCTCTTCTTTTTTCACTTTTTCCTTCTTTCCTTATTCGTTTGTTCACCTTTTTTTTCTCGGTCTTTTATTTATATATATGCGCATGTATAATTACTACACATATGTAAACAAATGAAAAGAAAGGAGAGGATAAACGAATGGGAGATTTAAAGAGACAAAAAAAAAAGGGTGTATGTATCTTGAAACGGTTGTACATTAAGGAGCTTCAATTTGTCCTCGTTTTTTCGTTTCTTCATTTATACGTTCTAAAGAAAAGAAACAAAAAAAAAACATATATATAGAAAAAGAAACTCCTCAACGGAGGTGTACGTACTATTTTTCCTCAAATTTTTCATGAGGAACAGAACAAGAGAACATATACCCGACGAACGAAAAGGAGAAGAAACTGATATTTGCCTTGCTGTTGTTAGATTTAAAAAAGAAAAAAAAAAAGAGAAAAAAAAGAAACAGTTTATTGCTAGAGACATATCTGTCCCACGTGTTCTTTCAGATCTACGTCTGAGATCCTGGTCTCGCGGGGAGATCGGGGTGATACTTCGAAGAACAGTTTCAA